CCATTTGACATTTATCAGATGGACTGAGTGGTTTATATCAGAAATACCTTTCTCTAAAGTCAAAATGACCAGTATTTCTGCCTTTAATGTTGGAGCAAAAGCAGAAACAAACCTAGTTTGAAATGGAATGCAGGACTTAACATGTTGATCTGAACCTACAGACATAAAGACTGAAGTAAAGCGCTTTAATAGAGCAGGGAGGATCTCTTTCCATTAAATAAATCCTTGAAAAATGGAGGCAATGTAAAAAACCATTTTTATTTTCTCTCTCACAACAATAATTGACCTCTGAACTAACTTACATGCAATCATAGTAGCATATATACTTTGTATTAATTTTTTCCCCTAATATTTAACTCTCCTTTTTATTTTGAATTTACTGTTTTATTGTTCTTCTTCTTGTAGTGTTTTATGGTGGTTGGCAAACTACTTAAAAGTGCATTACTGCCACTAACTAATAAGCAGTTAAACAAGGAAACAGGAAACTCACCCCCAGAAGAAAAAAAAAAAAAAAAAAAAAAAAAAAAAATAAATAAAAAACTAAGTACGATTTTTCTGAACTGTTTCATTTAACCCAACAAAATAAATAATCAAATTCGTCTTCATAATTTCTAATTTATCTTTATGTTGCTGTCACTCTACCAGTTTCTTTTCACTATTATGATTTTATTTTAGTTTTATTTGTCATCTGAGCACTACAATTGTTCACTTATACCATGAAAAGTACAAAATATTTTGATTTAACAATCAATGAATCTTCTGCAAATGTGTTTATTTTTTTGTTAACTGAACCACAGTCCAATCTGCAAAGAGTCTCCCTGATTAACTAGTTTGAATATTACTTTGTGATCGTTTTTTTCCTCCTCAGTTGGACTCGGTGCTTTTCCGCTTTTTCACATTTTTTGAGTCTACTTTATTGTTTTTCTTCTTATTCTTCTTCTTTTGAATTATTTCCCTCCTCTATTCCACAATAATCGCTTCCTGTTTCCTCGCTTCATTTCTCCACAAGCGAATTAGAAACACGCGTCCTCATTGACATTGTTTCTGGTGTTACTGACATTAACCGGAAATGGCTCCTATCCTCGGTATGTTCTGACAAGCGGAAGTTGAAAATTGACATCAAACAGCTTTCGCTTACGTCCGCCATACTTGTATAAATGCTTGAGCTCTTGCGTCCAATAGTTACTGTTGGAGTGAAA